CTGAGCTACACCCCGGCCCCCCAGGTCTACTCTTTAGGTGTTGTGGGCTCCAGATCAGGGCCCTGAGGACCAGACCTCTGCGTTATTCCAAACATCAGTGACCCGAGAATATATTATTTTCTCACAGATTGTGTATAGTTCATAGCAAAATAAAAACTAGATTTGCTGAAGTTTTACATCCTATGTTTGGATGCTTTTTATAAAAATTGTCATCATTGGAACTTCTTAAAACTAATTTAAAATTTAAAAAATAAGAGATTATTTCAACCTAAGAAAAATCAGATATTTTAATATTTTATTTGTTGTTTTTGTTTTATATGTACGAGTGCATTGCCTGCATGTGTGTGAGTACACCTGTGTTGTACAGCACCCATGGAGGTCAGAAGAGGGCATTGAATCCCCTGGAACTGGAGTTATGGACGGTTGTTAGCCTCCATGTGGGTGTAGGGAATTGAACTCCAGTCCTCTGTAAGAGCAGTCAGTGCTCTTAACTGCTGAAACATTTCCAGCCTCTCAAGATATTAGGTTTTTAAAAATAGTGATGCTGGTTTTTAGTATGATGGGTCCTTCCTGACCAGTTGTGCTTGATGCATGTTCTAAGGTACAGACACTCAGTGGTGTGACACAGCATTCTAAGCTGTAGACACTCAATGGCCATCAAAGGCCTGACACAGTGTCTCTGAGTTTGTGCCATTGAAAATTACAGATGTGGACTTGTAGAATATGCAAAGGAGAAACAAGTTTTACTAAGAAGAATTACAGAAAAGTAAGATATTGAGAAAAGGGAGAGATTAAGGAAAAGTGAGAGGAAATTCCTGAAAGTGAGAGGGTTCCTAAGATAGGAAAAGGTCATCCACACTGGTTGATTCTGAGCTGTCATGAGCAGAGCCAGTAGAAGGCCCACATGTGCTGTGCATGTCCCCAGGCCCAACCAATGAGATGGTCATGGGCTATTCATACCTGCCCACCTAGTTAGGGGTGCTTGAAGCCTGTCTCTGTCCTCCTCTGACTTTGTTGGCTGTTGATATTGATGGTCAGGTAATCAGTAGTCACTTGGCCAATGTTAATACCCCTGGCCTTGCAGGTATCTCCTGTGCTGTTAATTATGCTAAACTCTCTGTGTTCTCATATTTACATGATCAGCCTTTAGCTCTACGATGATGGAGAGTGAAATCTGTCTCAGCCACCAAGATGTAGCCATAGTCTTTCTTGGTTAGCTCGTATTGAGCTAGTTGCCATGGGGGCTGTGATGTGGTCCTCCTAGACAGAAGCTTCTTAGAAGCCATCCTTGCATACAGTTTAGTCTGTTGTAACTATCTGCATGAGAAACAAGGATATGTGTTAGGACATTATTGCCTTACATATGTCCCTCAAGGGCTGTGGGAGAGGGGCAGCTGGCCCAAAGTTCTGTCTCTCCTCTTTTTTTCTCTAGCTTGGTTATCACATACCCAGCTCTAAGCCCTCATATTAGAGTTTGCCATGTTAACCCTTAATCTTCCTTTTAACCCCATCCTTGGTTCTCACTGCAACACATGTGAGCAACTTCCAGTTCTTACCATAGGCCCTTTTCCCTCCTTACTTCCAACAGGAGCCAGCTCTGGCATCCAGAAGACTGTGCCCCATGTCCATATGCCCAGATGGCTTTTTTTCCCAGGAGTAATGGAAATGCCCTATGACCCTTGTCAAACACGTTTTGCCTTCAGGATAGACACTGGCTCTCCAAGTGATCGCTCTATCTCTCTTACCTTATTTGTCAAGAGATTTTGTTGGTTTGAATTCCTGAAACCTGATAGTCAGAATGATTGCTCATTAGTGAATTCAGACTGGAGGCCAGGTATAGATTAGCGTGGGACCACAGGCATGTGTGAGGCCGGAGTCCCTAGAGTCTAACTTTTGAAGAGAAAACAAACACAAACAAACATACATCATTGTCTTCCTAGAGGTCATGGCTAGAAACTTTTTCAATTATACTGGCCACATCTCCCACTTTGTAATTCAGGGATAGTGCCACATGCCATCCTACCACAAGACAGCAAACTGGATTTTCACCCTTCAGGAGAGGCAAAGACAAACAGAAAGACAGACAGACTGAGTTGAAGGACAGACAGAAGAAGAGATGAGGGAGATAGAAAGAGGGGGAAGAAAGAGAGAAGCATCCGATTGGCGGTTAGGCTGTGTAAATGGCTGAGCCCAACTGGAGGTTCGAACGGCCACCGTGATGGAGGTTTGATCTTCAGTACCTCGCAATGTGAACTTCCTGAAAAGAAGATCATTGAAGATGCAGTTCATTAAATGAGATGAAATTAGATCGCTGGGCATGGTGGCACACACCTGTAGTCCCAGCACTAGGGAGGCAGAGGCAGGTGGATCTCTGTGAGTTCAAGGCCAGCCTGGTCTACATAGTGAGTTCCAGGCCAACTGGGGCTACAGGGAGACCCTGTCTCAAAAAGACCAAAAAAAAAAAAAAAAGAAAGAAAGAAATTAGAATAACGTGGACCCTGGCACAGCATGTCTGATGTTATCTATGAGAAGAGATCGGCCCCTGGTGACTCAGGCAGAGCCTGGGGTGTTGCAGCAGGAGTCGCTAGGCAGTCCAGCCACCAGGACCGGACAAGGCAAGGAAGGCCCCAGCTGGCTTCAGGAGGTATGCAGCTTAGCTGCCCTTGGTTACAGACTTCCAGACTCGAAAACTGTGAAACAACACATTTCTGTGGGTTTCAGCCATTCAGTTATGGTGCCTTTGTTACAGCAGCCATAGGAAACTGATACAGTGATCTATGCAGTGGAATGGCCTCCACTAGGAAGACACCTTGGCCTTATGATATCCATGCTCCTTCCTGTCTGTCACTGTGCTCATGAACAGCAGAGTAACCCAAGAATGGATCTTCAGATGGAGAATTCTTCATTCAGATTTCAAGAGCCTGGCAGCATATGTCTGGAGAGGTGGTCAACAGTAGGGACTGTTCTTTTTGTCAAGGCAATAAAAGGTTTGTCAGTTGCAAGATCTGAAAGACAGGTGGCGCTGTTTGGTGTCACTCATTCCCTCCATTGCAGCCCACGTTCCCTTAGTGTGGGTTGCCTCCAGAAAGCAAGTCTCTAGTGATTTTCTTGTGTGCACTTTCAGTGTGTTAACTGGAAACCCAACCAGGTTTGATTTTCCTAAGAAATTCTCTGGACTTTCAGTAACTTTGTGGTTGTGGCCCTTGGTCCTGGGATCCAAAAGGGAGCTACGTCTGTTTTGTGGCACTGACAAAGTGACCACAAAATTCTGACCTGGATCCTTAGCATTTCACTCTTAATTTGGGGGTCAAGGAGTGGCATATGGGAGGAGGGGACTGTAATTTCCATTTCCGTCCCCTGGAATTGCAAAGTAACAGGGATGTACCACAGTCAGTCTACTTGGCTCCCAGGGATGGCTCTTCCATGCTGCTCTTACAAACCAGCCATCATAGTGTCTGTGTGGTCGATGTGGGGACAAAAATGAGTTTAAAATTCCCTGAAGTCACCACCGTTTTTAGATATCTGCTTTCCCGGTCATTTTAAACTGTGCCATTAGACAAGTCTGCCCAAGGCAAAGACGAATGAGTCCATGTCATAAAATGGGCCCCGTTGAAATAGGAAAGCAGTCTGCTCCCGTCTCTTAAGTCTCAGAGGGATGGAGAGCTCTGACTCTCACAACCACCGCAGCTATGATCTTGGGGAAAGAGCACAAATGTACATACTATCTTTCTGGAAAGGTCTTAGGGTCGAGAGCTCCTAAGCAGCTGAGAATGTGTGACCACAGAAATCTACCCTTCTACTCAGGTGTTTGTTTCTGTCTGTGAAATTTGCTGACTTATCTTCCTCTGGCTTTCTAGCCCATCTCTGTCTGCCATCATCCTATACTCAATAATAAGTTACATTTATGAAAAGCTTGCTGGGAGTCAGTCTATGTGCCAGTTGAAAAATTTTTTGATGTAGTAGCCTTAACAACCTTAACAAGGTGGGCATTTGCTCCCCTTTGGACAAATGAGGACAGTTGAGGGTATCAAGGGCTTATCCAAGGTCCCACAGCTCACAGTTCAAACCCAGGTTCCCTTACTTCAGGACCCCCTGAGCTACACCAGAACCTCGTACTATCTCACTTGCCCTTGAACCTTCAGTGAAGGAACTGGAAACTCAAAAGGCAAGACTGACATCACCCGTGTGGACTGCGCAGTTCAAGTCACAGTGTCTAGGCAAATAAGCGTGTCTTCTTCAGGTCTTCTTTATGCTTGAATGTGGAAAAGTTGCTTGGCAGAAAATGCAGGATGCCCACAGCAACTGCAGCCGGGGTCTCCTTGCATTCACATAGCTGTGTTGGGCATTACTGCCTTGACTGTTGTAGTGAGAGGGAAGGGCCCAGCCAGGCTCACTGTGAACTTGAACAGCAAAAAAATTACCAATGTTCACCTGCACCTGAGGGGAATTGGGCAGTGAATGGGATTCCCGTCTCTGTGATACAAAATTCTATAAACTGATTAAGAATATAGACCATCTAGAAAGTTAAATAAAGTTGCATCAGTCACAGCCAGGAATACCTTGCAGAAAGCGAGTTCCTGCCCTCATTCTGATGCCTCCCATGGTTAATAACTTCAAGTATATTGCCTTTCTCTGGGCACAATAATGGAAACATTAAAGAAGCCATATATCCAATTATCCACCTCGGTCCCACAAGTATTGGAAAAATGGATTAGTACTCTGAAAGTTCTTCCTGTAATGTTTGCTGGAGCTCAATGCAAAGTAAAAAAGCCTGTATTGACTTTCAAATATCTTTTCCTCACTGTGTTCTCAATCTGTGACTTAATTTTTTAATCAATTTGGGTTTGTGATACATTTGAAATGTGCTTTTGGCTGGGATAGACTCTAAAGCACACTGGGGATTCTGAAGTTTATCAGTTCTGGGATTCTAAGTTCTGTGTGCATGTTGTGCCATTGTCTGTCTGTCTGTCTTTCTGTCTGTTGGTTTGTTTTTTCAATAGACCAGGCATTTGGAAAGACCTGAAGACCATGGGCCCCGTGTCCCTTTCTGTGTTCTTCATCACGCTGCTCGTACTGGGTAGACAGGTAAGAGGTCTGTTCCTTCCGTCATCCCCTGAGGTGCTGATGTGCACTGTAGTTATATTTGTGCAAAGAAATGCTTAAGAATCATCTTATCACTTAAGAGAAAAGTAGGTAGCAGGGGTGTTAGATATGAAGAAAAAGGTCATTTTGCCACAAGAGGCAAACTTCAGAATGCCAGAGATAAGAATCAACTAATTTCCTGTTAAATCTCAAACTACAAAAGTGTCATAACATCCAAGCAGCTGACACCATTTGAGAAAATACCCTTCGAGTGGGTTCCATCTGAGTGTCACAATGAGCAACAGACTTCTTTTGCTGAAAGTCAGTATGGTGCCTTTGCTTACATTTGCAGCCATTCCTTAAAATAGGGTCCCCTGCTAAAATTCTGTTTTGTGATGCAAATGAAGCTATTACTCATTCCTTGGCCTCTGCCTGCACCTAGTCTCCCTGGAGAGGCTGTGGACACAGGGGTTTAAGGATTAGCATGCTTATGCTTGGGTACAAAGTCAATCATCAAAGTCTATGAGACTTATCTGAAGCCAGGCAGCTCTACCTCCACCCAGACTTGTTTTAAATCCTACATTAGCTGTGCAAGATAAAGAAGAGGTTAATTGGAGTAAGAGGTGCTGTTGGTTAAACCGTGGGTACATTATTCAATGGTTATATGAACTCTGTGGCAAACATCTGCAGACTTGAGTTTGGATCTAGTTCTCGCTGCTGGGGAAATGTTATCAGTAGGACAGAGTCAATGACAGTGCCTATCAGATCACATCTGGAACTGTAATCTCTTATCCACCTAAGTCCTGTGAGCTCCATCCTTCCAGGGAGCTAGCAGGACAGCCCTCCAAGGCCCCCTGCACTGTGCTAGCCTTTCCCCTGAAAAGCCTGTGAGAGCCCTTCCTTCCCACACCAGCCCCACAGACTGAGCATTTCTCCATTCTGTTCTTTGACTTGCCATTGTACCAACTCGAACCATGCTTTTTGTCTTTCCGGGTGTCTATGTGACTCTATTGTGACTCTATTGCTTGTTTGTGATCTTTTTCTCACTATTGATCAGCTTGCTGTTCTTACTCACTCCCTGACCCCAACCCTAGAAAACCCCATAAACTATGTAGGGAAGAACTGGTCCTTCTTGTACAACAACCCCCAGACATTCCTCAGGAAAAGCAGCCACGCCTCCGTGGGGTTTCTCATGTCAGCTTGAAAGACAAGAAAGACTTGTGACTGGGGAGGGTGGAAGGGGCTCACACTGTTCTCTGCAATGTGATGGACAAAGGGCTTTGTCCTTCCTCTTTAGCACTCTCCTCCCCATGTCACCCAGGCTCTGCCTCCCTTAGTCCTGGCCCTCTGTGGATGTCGCACACAGCCATCCCCTTATCTCTGTGTCATCTCCCTCACTGTTCTCATACATAGATATCTTATAAGGATACCAGTCATGAGATTTAAGACCTACCGCAATTCCGGGATGAGCTCTTCCTCAGACTCCTAATTAATTGCACCAAGTTATACTCTGTTTCTGAATAAAGACATCTTCATAGGTGTCAGGAGCTAGGACTTGGAACCATCTTTGAGGACACTATTCAATTTATTGCAACTGGTTTGAGATAGACACATTTCATTTTCCCTTAGAGCTCTCCACATGAGTTTTTCCTGTGATCACTGTTTACACATAAAAGAGATGCTGAAGCAGGTTGTGTTGCTTGGGAAGGTACTAAGATGGGTGGGTGAGTGGGTGGATGGGTGGGGGGATGGATGGATGGACAGACAGATGGATGGATGGACAGCTAGATGATAGAGATGATGGAGAGTAGATACATATATAAATAGATATAAATAATATCTGTATATGATAGAATTAGCATGTAGATAAAAAATAGATGACTGGCAGATAGAAGATATATGATTGATAGATGACAGATATATTGACAGTGGTAGATGATAGATAGATGGATGGTAGATAGATAATAGAAAGACTGATAGATGGATAGATTGATGATAGCTAACAGAGGTAAGCTATCTTTATAAGAAAAAAATAAAGATTTATATATCTCAAAGTTTGGGGCATTCAAGGGTATGGCCCCGTCACCAACTCAGCTCTGGTGAAGGCCCTCTTGTCTACATCACATCATGATAGGAGATTAAATCACTAACTTCACTAGAAGCTCAAAAGCCTAAGATCCCACATCCCCTTTCGAGGGGACACCCCTCCCCCACGCCGTGACCAATGGATCTCCTACTAAACCACTCCTCAGCTCTTAAAGGCTCCACACCATTACCAACCCACTGAGGACCAACATTCCAATACATGAGTCTTTCATATACCCTAGAAGGTAGGCAGGTAGATACATAGGGAGATAAAGGATACCTGATAGACAGATACATGATGCAGAGATACATAGAAAGACAAGTAATAGTCACTTTCATTCAGTGCAGCTGTCTCCAAAATACTGATCTCCTTCTAATAGAAGACTAACAAGCAGAACACTTGCCTGTGATGCCCTGGAAACCACTAGAAAGCCTAACAGGCCTCTCATTATGGTTATGGAGACCTTCAGACTTAACATGCATTAGGCCTATGAGAACCTTCAGAATTATAGGCAATGGGCTTATGGGAACTTTCAGAATTATGTGCAGTGGGCTTATGAGAAACTTCAGATTTATAGGCAGTGTGCTTATGGGAGCCTTCCACAGTAGTCTTACCACCTGAGCTGGTTTGGGAAGCGGTCTCTCTAACTCTTCTTTCTCTTGGCTTTGGATAGCCTCTGTGGCTTTTGATTCTCCCACCATAGACTGCTTCTGCTGTCCTAGGTAAAATCTACCACACCACCACTTTACCCTCAAATTCCAAGTCACTACTTATTTTCCAAGTAAAAGCACTTTTCTAGTAAGTGTAGAGCATGATTTCTTCTAGAGCAGTGTATGAGAAATTTGGTATTAAATGTAAAACTTTAAATATGAACAGCATTGAAAATGCACTTTTTATAGTTTATTTTTTGAAAATGTCTTGCTATATGAGGTAAAAATAAATGAAGGAATGTTTTGTCCTGTGTTATGTGTGGTTTGGGTCAAATCAAGCTGATTAATGAATGATCTTTGTTCTTTCAGGTTACAATGTGAATTTGTTTTTTAGAATTCCCAATTGTGCATGAGAGGCCACGTGTGTACGTGTGTGTGTATGAACAAGTGTGTGTGTGTGTGTGTACAAGTGTGTTTGTACATGCATATGTGTGTATGCATGTATATGCATGACTATGTATGAGTGTGTGCATGTGTGTACATGTGCGTGTGTGTGCATGTGTACATGTATGTAGGCTGTTCTAGTTTGTACTGACAATTTTATAATTAATCAAGCCAGCAAAGCAGCAAGCACCTTTATGTAGCTCTCCTGTGCATTTATGTGTTGATAACTCATCTCTGTGGAGAGTCACCCTCTCCTTGAAGCCCATCTTTGAAGGATTCACCCAAGGCTGTATCACTGCATTCAGTCGTTGACATCACAGAAGAGATACCACATGATGGCAAGGCTAGAGAGAGCCTTTGTCAGCTAATTAGCTTCTGCACTTCTGCAGTATTGACAGTTACTGGCTCTTCAAAATCAATGCATTCTAATGCACTGTAAGCCATGAATACACATGTTTTCAGTGGGAACCCTCAAGTTAAGGCAATATATCCACATGTAGTTTTGTCTGCATATAATGATATTCCTTATGTACAATGCAGTGCTAAAAATAATCCATAGTTACAATGAATAACTGTATGGTTTGTGGTAGCGGAAACTGATCTTCAAACACTAAGGACAAATTCCCACAAATTAACAATATTTCTTATTCAGTACAAATCATCAAGCACTCTGTCTACCAGGCACCTTTAATTTCCATCATTTATCTTTGCCAACTTTTATTAACATAATCTAGCAAGTAAGTCAGAATGAGAGTAAGCTACTTGTTTACTCTCATTCTGAGTTACAAACTTTTGGAGACTCTAGTTCCCTATTATTAAGGCTGGTTTGCCTGTTACCTTGTTCTTGGCAAATCCATATTATAGGGTGATTGAAAGGTATTTGGATTGGGTGGAGGGCTTTGTAGGAAGGGTTACAAATATATTTGGGGATGATTCTTTGTACTGTTTTATTATTTTTATTTTCTCTTTATAACCTCCACTCTGACAGGACAAGATGCCTATTGTTTCTTTACCTCTGTGTCCTCTTGTAACAGAATGAATATTACTGTAGGTTAGACTTCTTGTGGAAGAACAAGTTCAAAAAAGAGCGGGAGGAGATAGAAACCATGGAGAACCTGAACCGCGTGCTGCTGGAGAACGTGCTTCCTGCACATGTGGCTGAGCACTTCCTGGCCAGGAGCCTGAAGAATGAGGTCAGCCGGGCAGGCTGGGGCGGGCCTGTGCAGCTGTGGGTGGGAGGCTAAAGGCTTGAGGATGTGGGAACACGGTGCCGTGACATTGCACACTGAAAGTGACACGTGTTCATGGTTAGACTGATTTTGTTTTTTGTTTCAAGAGGGTATTGACTGCTCATAGAGACATCAGTAGAAGCCAGTAAATTGGAATTACCTTCTAGGGCTGGAGATATAGCTCGGTTGGTAGAACGCTTGTCTGGCATTCATGAAGCCCTGGGTTCATAAGCCAGGTATAGTGGCTCATGCCTGGAATCGCAGTGTGTGGGAAGTGGGGGCAGGAGGATCAGAAGTTGAAGGCCATCTTCAGCTACATAGCATGTTCAAGGCAAGCCTTGAACAAAGACAGGGTTATATAAGACTCTGTCTCAAAAAAAAAAAAAAAAAGCGATTACCGTCTAATATCTGATCAAGAATTGATTTAAGATTTCTTCCAGGCTGGTGACACCACTCAGTACGTAAAGGTGCTTGCCACCAAATCTGATGACCTGAGTTCAATCCCCAGGACCCACATGATGGATAGAGAGAATAGAGTCACATATGGAGTCCTCTGACCTCCATGTGGCATGCACACAGGCACACATGTGCACATGCATGTATGTAAAAAAATTAAAGTTTTCTTCAATTGTGTAAAGCTCTAAATATGTATGAAGAGTCTACGTTTCCAAACATATCTCCAAAGTGGCCACTGCCCTCTCCCCATCCTTACCAGCATGCATGTGATAGGGTTCAAATTGGGAGGCCACGATAAGGCAGAAATCCACAGACCCATGTTCCTTTGCTCTTGGGCTCCTTGGGAGACTCTCAGGGTCTTAGAATTTCAAGAACAATGATATAATTTGTAAGATCAGTGCATTTAAGAGTCACCTATGCATCTCTCAACTCCCACCAGTGAAGCTTCCTCATGCAACAGAGGGCAATTACCTCAGAAAGCCAGAACTGACTAAAATGTAGAGAATAAGAGACTCCAGAGTATGGCCCCAGATAGGACTCCTACATTAAGTCTCACCCACCCATGGCTTGGATATCATTGCAGAAGAGGGGGTGGAAAGATTGTAAGAGTCAGGGGTGGTGGATGACCACAAGGTAGCAGAGTCTTCCAGGCTTCTGGGAATTTGCTCATATGAACTTACAGCAATGGTGACAGCAAGCACAAGACCCTTGCAAACCTAATCAGACAAAAACACAGCACAGAACTGGGGAAATGGGTAAGAAGCCCCAATATTAGCTGAGGAACTATTGGCAACTGATCACTGCTGGGTGAGGGAGAGTTGATCTTCTTAAAGGGAATGATACTAGATAGGTTTACCAGGCACCAGTAAATTAACTCACACTGAGGGATGTCTGGATACACTAACTTGACTTCATATATATCTATAAAACAGAATGCATAAAATCCAGTGGGAGGGCTCTGGGGGGATACAGATAGGAGGTCTACATATGATTAATATGTATTGTATAAAATGTACAAAATTCAATAAAATTATGTATAGTAAAAAGAGTTACCTATACAAGCGAAGATAGATCTGAGTCTGAATCTGCCCATCTGTGTGGACAGAAAGGGGTGTTCCAAGATATTGAGCAGAGTTAAGGAGACCAGGAAGTCAAAATGTGTCAGTGGCTTGGGAAATGAAATGTCTCCATGTTTGTCTTTAACAGCAAGAGAAAGCAGAGAGATCTATGACAAGACAATATAGCAACAGGTTCATGGTAGCACTGCCATGCTTGGCGCTCTGAGAGTTCACAGCCAGCCGTCTGAGAGCAGTCTTCATAGGAGATTCCCACTGAGGTGTGGAACCTGTGGACAGCTGAGCTGGTCACCAGATCTAGATAAGCTCGGCCTGGGTGCTGCTAGACTGCACAATGCCTCGTGAGAAGTGCTGGAGCAGCTTTAAGCTGACACTAAGAATAAAGGGCAGGTTGTAGTTTAGTGGGTACATTTCGTGGTCCCACACACTCCTCTTTTCTTGCAGTTTATTTTTCCCCTGATAGAGTAATTGATTGTACTCAAGTTTAATGATGCTTAAAGTATTACATTTATACCCTGATAGAAGTATTCTTCGTAAGATGAACTGAAAAATTTTAAGTAAAATAAAATTTGGGGGGAAAAAAATGTGTGGCAGGCAGCTGAGAAGTCCCAGGACTTGGATGCACAGGGCGTGGCAGTCCTCCCTTCCACAGATACCTATGTCCTCTTCTGTTTTCAGATCCAAGTAGAAAGGTATTACCACTGGTGTTAAAGGTTACCACAGGTGTTAAATCACTGGACCTATTGAGAAACTCTTTTTATTAGCAATAAAGAGTCTCTCATCTCTCTAGCTGTTAGTTATTATTGTGTGTTGCATGCATGATGTGTGTGAGTACAGGTGTGCATGTACCACGGTGTACATGTGGAGGTCAGAGGACAACTTTTGGGAGGTGGTTCTCTCCATCCATCATGGGTTCCTGGAATCTAAGTCAAGTTGTCCATGGCGAGCGTTTTTACCCAGTAAGTCATCTCGCTGGCTGTTCATTCAGTCTTAAGTTTGGATCCTCCTGTTTTCCCTTCCCTGCCTTAAATACAGACATGAATAGGGTAGAATGGCTACTCTCCTGGATCTTCTCGGAGACTGGAGTCTATTAATTGCAAGCACACAGGGAGTATGACTCTCGGCATCTAGGAAGACCACGGTGAGGAAAGGATCTCTGAATCTCTGAAGGATGTTCTAGAATCTAGCTGGGAGGAAGAACCAGTGGGTGAGAGGGATGAGGGAGAAGATTCTGGGCTCCAGGGGCCACTTCTCCCAGGTACTGTGGAAGGGATGAGAGGACAACCTGGAAGAGTCATAAGGCAGGCAGGATGAAGGTAGATGGAGGCTGCACCTCAAGGCTTGGGCCTTCCCACAGCATCCTGGGCCAGCACAGCAGAACAACCCTTCCCTTGATCGTCCCTGTCTGCTTATCCTAAGAAAGCCTCCAAGCATAGTTTGTCTCCTGCAATTACAGTGGCTACTTTACATCACTGTGGCCAGGATTCCTGAGAACAACTTAAAGGGAAGAAAGGTTTATGTTGGCTCTCGATTTTACAGTGTTCACCCACCATGGCAAGCAGCTCACACCTTGGCAACTAGGAAGAAGAAAAGGGGAGTTTGACAAGAAGCCCTGTAGCCCCAAGGACACGCTTCCTCCAATAGCCTCACCTCCTGATGTCTACCACCCTACAGTATTGCTGCCAGATTCTGAATGCATCAAGGGGTTAATCCATTGATTAGATCAGCCCCCTCAAGGTCTAATCATCTCTGAAAGCATATTCCTACATGCATGGGTGTGCTATTCTGATTTCCTCAGCATTTCTCAGTGCAGTCAAAGCAATCTAGACTAACCATCTCATCAGTAATCAAACCAGGTAGGAGAAGGAAAGAGGATGGGGAGGCTATGCAGCATGGGCTGGCATCTTAGTCCCAAGGTTGCTTCTGTAACCTTGAGCCAGGTACCCTCCACCTCTGAGCCTTGGTCTCCTTGTGTGTAAAGGGAGAAAAACAGTGACTTGCTTTGCAGTTGTGTTGGTAGACAGATTGTGGGACAGTTGCAAAGTGCTGTGTACACGGGAGGCAGACATTTTGCAGAGCACTAAGCCAGGTCCTTATTCACCCAAGGAAGATTTACAGGGTAGGAAATCATCAAAGCAGTGGTGCAGAAAATTCAGACTGAATCTTCCCTTTACCGAGGAGTTATGGCCTATTCTGTGCCACAGCAGGGACCTTCTTGCAACTGCAGCACTCTCATGTTCTCCAGAGGAGCAGCTGACACATCCCTCCAAATGTCCTGATGAGAGCTGTGTTGCATTAACAGCACACAAGCATCTCACATAGCCCTCACCACCTAGGTGGCTCCACAGGGAAGGGGTATGTGTAAGGCAAGATGGTCCCTCCTGACGCTAATCCTGACCTGGCAGTCAGAAGTGGTGGTTGAGTCCTGGCTTGGCCAGTGCCTCACGCATGAGCAGTGTGGGGATAGTTACCTCATTTCAGTAGAACCAGCTGTGTGCTTTGCTTCATTCACTCAAATAAAGATGACCTTTGGGGCCTCTGTCCATCCCATTTCACCCTTGTGTGCACATAGAACCCATCTTTAAACGTTGAAATAATTTAAACTGTCGATAGTCAAAGCCTGTTTACCAAGCTCCCATTGTGGCTCCTTTGCCAGAGGCACACAGAATCTCCAAAAGGGGGGACAAGGCACCTTGGGGCTGGCAGAGAGGATCATTGAGTTCTGCAGAGCATACAGAACGCAAGCGTCTCTGTGCTGAGCCACGAGACACTGACTCCCGCGGGCTGCGGCAGGCTGCGCTTCACTGCCGATGTGTATGGGCCAAGACGTGGGTCACTGTTAGACTAGGACGCTAAATAAATGAAAGGAGCCACCTCAGATGCACCACTGTCAGAGCAGCCCCGTGCTGCCCGAGACCAGCACTGCAGCCCTGTACCGCCTAGAGACTCTGCTCACTGTCCAGGGCAGGTGCTGCTCCCCTCCCCAGTGATCAGACATTTTAGATTCTGTGAGCTTTGTTCCTCCAGAAAGGCCGTGGGTGCAAAGCAGAGCCCCCTGAAAGGATAAGGACAGAATCGCTGAACAGCTTCCGGATGCTTCCGAATCCAGTCAGCGAGTTTCAATAAGGAATGAGTTGTTTTGCTTTGTTTTGTTTCTTTCCAAAAACACACCACAGGGAACAGGTCGTGGAGTAACTTGTCTGAGTACACAAACCCTAAGAGACTGACTGCTGGTCCTGCCTTCCGTGGAAGGACTCCTGCGGCCCTCAGACTTCCTGTCCTCGACCACTTCCCTGGGCAGAAGAACCCTTTTTTTGACCTGACAGTGGAATCCTGTTCTAAGCACAGCTTGTTTCATAGTTCCTGGCCCAGCACAGCGCCAGCGCCGTGAGGGTGTATTCCACTCAACTCGCTCTCCCTGAAGGCTTCCCA